AGCCCAGCATACACTAGGTAGCATGTTGCTGGCAACATGTTGCTTGCAAGATCAAAGTAACCACTAATGTTGCCAGCAACATGTTGCCTAGTGTATGCCTGGCTTAACATCAGGCCTGGTTTGCAATCTTGTCTATGATCTATGATCCTGATGCAAACTAAACTGGAAAATAAAGAAATAATTAATACAACTTCACTATTGGTAGTGGTTTGTGTGGTTGTTCTTTTCTGTGTCTATCAATCAATGTCTTCTTTTCATTTTTAAGAGTATCCACCAGGAGAGGAGGAGTAAAGTATGCTTTAATCTCAATATATTCAAGTGATGGATGGATGAAGATAGTTTCATATAAATGCTGTACTATTTCTATCCAGTTAGGTTGAGATGACTTATTAATATATGCAAAACCTATCCTCAGTAGTCTGATGGTTGTATGTGACTGTAACATATTAGTAACAACAGGTAGTCCCTGTTCATAAAACAATGGTGTCATTATTTGTTCCTTCTCTTCCTCACTACAATTGCTGTATGACTGATCTGGTATGAAGTTCACTTTGAGTTCTGGGAGATTGTTTTTTTGAGAAATGACATTAATAAAAAATCTTATCTCTTCATTCAGTGGAATGGATATACTCATCTGCAGCTGTAGACTGGTGTTGTGTCTGAGACCAGTTGTTAGGAAGGACAGGAATGAACTAGAAATGTCATTGTTAATCTCAAGGTATTTCAGTGTTTGATTTTGTTTGACCATGTCTTGTAGACAAGTACCCATACTGCTGGTATATTCAATCTTCCAATTTATCTTCACACTCAGAGCTTTAAGTGTAATATTAGTTTGTAGAATAGTAAATAGTTCAATAGCACTCTTAGCTGTATCTAGTGGTAAAGCAAGTGTATGCAGACTGGGATGAGAGAGAAATAGTAGATGTGGTGGGTATGGATTGTGTAGTATCAGACAGTGTAATCCTTTGATATGTGGAAGGAGTGATGATGCCATCAGTTCACTACTCCATGCTCCTATCTCTAGAGCAGTCAGTGGTGTGTTCACCTTTACTATATTCAGTGATGATGGTAGAAGTTCATCAGGTATGTCTAGTGAAAGAGCTTGTAATGTGTTGTTGTCATTCAGTAACTGCTCTATTACTCCATCAAGTAGAGGAGCATCATCATCACTATCAACTTCTATTGTTAATGATGTTATTTTTTTGTTTCTTGTTACTCCTCTAATGACACTGATGATGGTAGTTGTTATTTCATTCCTTCCTAATTCATACTTAATCTTCATTTCTTGTAGTTTTGAATTCATTTCTATACAATTCTCAAGTTCAGTGCACTTGTCTGTGTAGCATGTATTGTCAACTGTTGGTAAAGTACAATGGCCCATTTTTAAGTGCAGTATCTTCAATTGAGAAAGTTTGAAGAACTGTAACAATACAAGACAGGGAACATATTGACCTTGTAGTAATTCACAGTAGCACTCCTGAATATTGTATAAAAGTGATGATTGTAATAATTGGTGTATTAATTTATCAGTGGGTTCACCCAGCACTACCTCCAGTCTCTTACACTGGGTCTGTAGCAAGTTATTGGTTAATCCAGCAGTGAAGACTGATAGTTCCTGGTTACATACAGTCCCCAGATGCAAGTGATTCCATGTTGTCTTGGAATTGTTTATACAATAACTAAGACACAACCAGTCAAACAACGATAATGATACTCTATCCAGACACAATAAATGGTTGCTAATGGATTGTGTTAATACTTGACATAATGTTGTGTTCTGTGATTCATACAGGAGTTGCAGAAGAAGAATGGGAACATTGTCAGAATCATCAGATCTGATATGATCAATGGAGGTTAGTTTAATCTCAGGATTCTGATAGAAGTAGGAGAAATGACAAGTCTCAAATCCAAACAATGGTTTCTTCTTACATTGTAAGTCAAGTTGTTGTTTATTAAAATACTGTTGATAGCTCTCATGTTTAAGGTGAGTTAGACCTGCCACAAATCTCAGACACATTTGAAAGTGATCATCATCAAAGTGATCCTTAAACACTTCCTCTGTCTTCTTCTCATGCTTAGCTATCCACCATGCAGCTAGAAATTCCTGTATACTCAAGTGAAGGAACTGATACTTCTCTTCATCATAATCTGTGAACCTTGTCATCAATCCAAGATAGTCTTCCTTGACTGCCTCACTCAGTGACTGTAGTTGATGCAAAGAGAAGGTCATTCTTGTATTAGCCAGGTTAGTATAAGCTAATTGACACATCTCTTGTAAAGGTTTAGCTAATTGTGATGGTAATGAAGAAAGACTAACTAAACTATGTGGGTTAATGTGATGTCTCTTAACATGTCTTCTGATAGTTTGAAGGATAAAATTCTCATACAGTTGAGTGAGTGTTATTGGTAAGTGTCCTCCTTCCTTACAATAAACTAAGATGACCATGGAACAGACTAGTGGTATATAACACAATGATTGGACATCATTTCGTACTTTAAGATCATTAATGAGTTTCACTGCTAGTTGTGAGTCCTTACTGCTTTGAGTAGTTGTGAAATGTAAATTGTATTTTGAATAAGTTATTGATTTTATCATTTCATCTTGCTCAATGTTTTCATGAATGAGTTCATGTGCTAGTTTTGTATCTTTTTGAAGTGTTTGAATAATTACTGTTGATATTTCTTCATCGGAAAACCCAATGACCTGAACATGTCTACTGAGATTAGACATGATCTCTAAAAGTGAAGAGGAGGCATAGCTACGAGAGGTAACAATTACTGAACTTTGGTCTAACTTCTCTTTACAAATGATACTAGCAGCTAATGAAGACTGTTTGAGTTGTTCACTTAGTTCATCCCAACCATCAAACATTATCAGTAATCCTTCTCCATTCCTCTTCTCAAACCATTCAGCTACCATGGGAACTTCATAACGTTGACACACAAACAGGTCAGCTAGTGTAGTAGCTGTAGCTATCTTGCTATTCCTTAAAGGACAGTAAAGTACCAAGTCATACTGTCGGTGTACAAGTGGTCCATTAGACCACATATTTAACAGTTTATGACAGAGTGTGGTCTTGCCAATACCGGGAGGACCATCTATTATTACTCTAAGAGACAGAGAACTATCTGTGAGTTGTAGGACATCTTCAACATTTATCTGTTTGTTTTCAGTTAGTTTAACTGTTTTATCAACTTGTCCTCTTAGCAGATGCCAAGCTGATAGTGCTTGTGTGTTGGAATCTTGTTTTTCTACTAGTGCTAGTCTTCCAAAGAAATCTTTTCCAATTCTTGGTGGCCAGTCTATAGCAACAATAGGTTGGTGTTTGTAGTGTTGTTTCATATTGTCAGCATATACTTGAACACCATCGGGTATTGAACTAATGGGTTTAGCTACACCAGACTGACCTAATGATTAAGATACATAAAAACAATGTCTACACATTAAATAATTCATACCTCTTATAATAGTAACTGGTGTATTGGATATATCATCAACTGGTGATGGTAGTACAGTATGTGAACTGACATTATCAAGTATAGACTGACCTAATGTATATTGAGATACAATGACTATATTGATCACTGATAATGTACACACACACACTCTCTCACCTAACTGGTGTAATATAGAGGTAGCAATATCTGTTAGTGTACAATGTTGTTGGTTTATTAATAAATGACATATATCAATAAGATAATGCTCTGGATTAAGAGAGGATTCCAACTGTCGTTGTATCACAGATAATAATTGACTTGATTTCCTATAATCAGATATTCCTGTTACAGTTTGTATATTCTCTTTAGTATCCAGTGGTATCAGTCCTTCAGCATACAGTGCATCAGTTATTCTGTAAAGGTTAGTAGTAATAGCATCAGTGAGTTTAACAGAATGAGTCCTTAATATATCCTTTGGATTACCTGCAGTAGTGTATCAGTTAATGAGTGTTGTATTAAGTGTATGTTTACCTGTTATAGGACCAGGATTAGCATTACTGGTACTGATTTGAATATCATCATTAGTACTTCTTCCAGCTGTAGGATCTGTCACTTTGTCTTCAATAGTTCTAGCTAGTTCATTCTCTTTACATTGTTTCAAAGCATTAATGACATCTCTCCATGATGCTGTAGGATCAACTTGTAACCATCTCTTATGTAATGCCTCCATCCTGAGGTAAGAGCTTCCTTTCCTTTTAATTATATCAACATCAAGTTGTGTTATTCCACCAGAAAGACAAAGAGCAAATGGTTCCCAATCAACAAGTGGTTCAAGATACTTTGCAAATAAGAGACAAGATGGTTGATCATCAATCATAGGACCAGGATTGAGCTCAACATCTCCTGATAAGAGGAGGAGGAGAAGTAAAACCAAATGGTAGATCAGGTCAGAGCTACTGCCAATAAGCAAGACTAATGACTTAAGGCAACAGATGATCATAACAGTAACAGTAATTATATCTATTGTAAAATACACTGTATAATTATTATGTATATATACTATTAGTTTGTTTACCAGTTGGAGGAATAAAATTGAGCTTCATATATCTTAATAAAGATAAAAGAAGAGAAACAATAAGAGACAGAGCTGCTGGAAGTTTAGATGTCTTCTCTCCTGATGTAGTACTGCCTGACTTGCTGTCTACTGCAGCTTTGAATGAGTGAGAGTGGCGGCCATTAGCTGGTCTACTGGAGGCAGCTTGACAGTAGTTCCACAGTCCAATACTTGCTCTCCATTGAGAGACATCAATCATGGTGCTTGTAACAAAAAGATGAGTGTTCCTCAAATGAAAAAAGGTTGATTCAACAATCGAGCTTATGGTAACCCTACACAGGTGTGGAGTATGGATCTATGCTAACCACAAAATCCATACAACAGTCAGCCACAAGCTCAGAAAAAGCTATTGATAACTACTGGTCCTGTATAGTAAGATAAACACCCCCCAAAAACTCCTTATAAGGGCATTTGCAAATTTTCTATACTGGCCTGAGCATGTAGACAATTAGGTAAACAATCAAATATAGATCATTGTCAATAAAACATGCAGTAAAAATGAATAAATAAACTAATGTTATAAAGTCTTGTTCTTATCATTATTTTGTCCATAAATTATTAACACAAATCCTAATACAATCAGTGAAAACCCACACCACCACATGAGGTTCAGTGCTTCTCCAAACAATGCCCATCCAAACACACTCTAAATAAAACAGAAGAGATTTTAACATATGATGTACATGTACAATTAATAAATGTATTATTACATGTGTATATATGATTAAATTAATTTATTAACATTCTACATGTGATTATAGTAAAGATGGATAAAAAAATGCTATGATATACAGTAATGCTCATTTAAAATGCTAATAGCTAAGTATGATTTTATAGTTAACTATAGTCTATAATGCTAAGTACCATATAGCGGGAAAATTTAAAGGGAGTTAAATTTGGCAAATTCGGCCTTTTGATTGCCATTTACCAAAATAAAAATCAACCATTTTGAGCCATTATGCACATGCTCAATGGCACGTGGCCACAAATTCGCCAAATTAAAATCCACCAATCAACAAAATTTAGCAATTCACTAAATTTAATTCCCTCCAAAATTTCCTGTTATACAGTATTTATAATAATCACTATTTTACTCACAGAGAAAATGAAGTTGCAAGTGCTGACAGTAACAGTGGCCTGTGCAGTGCTGGAGTGTTTCTGTAGTGCTCTTGCAAATAACACAAACATAATGACATTGCATACACCCACCAACATCAGGCAGAGCAACTGTAGTACCTTTAGTAGTAACTCCTGATTCTAATCACAAGGGGAAAATTTACATAATACATAATGTAGCATAGTAGTTAACAAAGTCAAATCATCCTCTACTCTTACTTTTACACTATCTTAATGTATTTCAATTTCAATTAGTTAAAGCCTCATTATTAATGTATTCTATATATGTAGCTGGTAATGTGGAGGGACGCAAATTTAGTGAATTTGGATAGTCAATTGAATCCCATAATTTAAAACCATTTATGCACATGCTCAATGGCACACGCCTACAAATTCACCAAACCATAACAACAAGACATAGCAATTTGTCAAAATTTTTATTCCAAAAATATCAGTTACGTAATTTTGTTCAACTTCAAAAATTTAATAAAAAGACGTAACTTTGACGCTAATTTATGAAAAAAAATTTACCATTATGTCAGCCCGTAGCCCAAATTTAAATTAAAAGATTACTTTATTAAAAGTTGCTGCATTTAATAATAATAATTATTGGCTTACTTCTGTACATTTATCATTTGATAAGCACAACAACAGTTTCAGAGTTGCATTTCCTTCTTCCAGTCCAATTTTACTAACAACAGAAGCAAGGGATGCCAGCAGACCAGATAAAACAGAATTTGCTTCTAAGAGACTCGCCATTTTTGCAAAACCCAGCCACACCCAAGAACTGGTGGGTGTAGTCTACATGGTAGAAGTTTTTAAAATTCGGCTTAAAAACCTGCAAACGTACCATAACTATGTAAGTAATTAAAGTTATACGATTTATAACTTTCCTGTAAAATCATATTATGCTTTTACTGATAAAAAAGCATAAGTATTTTTGCTTTAAAAAATCAAAATTCTAGCTAGGCAGCTTATTTAAATAGGCGTGGCTAGTTATAAATTTCTCTCACATGACTGGTTAATGATATTCAAGTTATCACTAGTTCGGCCCTTTCTATTCCTCCTCATTTCTCTCCATTAAACAGCCTTTTTTGAAAGACCAGCATGTCCTACTCTTACCTTTTCAAGTACATCATCATTGGCGATACAGGTACGAGCCGGGAGACAAGCTTAAATTTCAAATCGGAGCCTTTTTTGTACCTTTTGTTCACTCTCCTCACTTACTAGGTGTGGGGAAATCCTGTCTACTCCTTCAGTTCACTGACAAGAGGTTTCAACCAGTACACGACCTCACTATTGGTAAGAGAGAGGGAATGAGAAGGAGAGAGTTTTATTTATAAAGAAGGAGTGACATACTTGTAAAGAACAGGGAGGTGTGACCTACCCTTGTACTTTCAGTTAGCATAGGTTTTAAAGGTTTTGAGTTAGGGTTTAGTGTTTAAGCTATATACACCTCTTCTAAAGTGTCATCTTTTTATGTGATTTGAATCAGGAGCTGTCTTGTGTCCCTTACATTTTGAATGAGTAATTTGGATAAGAGCATAATGTTTGACCTTTTATGAAATTTTATGTGGAGCATGATTTTTATGTATTAATGGTGTATTATTTTTGTATTTTCATTCTTATTGTTAAGTGTAGTATATTACTGGCTACACTGGCTCATTTATTGCTTTTATGCTTTTATCCAGTGCCAAGTGCAATCGTAGCAACAAAATGGAGCCACACATAAATACATGTACATGTACGCGTTAATCAATTTAACATTAAAATCATGACTTACATGTATGAAGAGTAGATAATGTATGTGATTTGGTACTAAATCTTAAGCATTTTTATTCTAATTTGGTACTGCTTCAATCAATGAACCATGTCATGCTGTAGTAAGGGCTGGATGGATCATTTGTAGTTTAGTTTTTATGGACTGAAATTTTGATCCACACATCATGTGCTGTATGACTGATAAAAACTCTAAAATTAAAATAACTTGATTGTAGTTTTTGACTTGTTTGTACTATTAATGTTATTATAGCTTGTGTTTCATAATATCATTGAATAGTGTAATCACACATTTATCTTCATAATTTATAATTATGTATAATAAATACAAAGAATAAGTAATGAATCTTTTGTATTGACATAAATTTGGCAGTGATAGGAGTAATATTAAGAGTTTGTACTATTGTTGTGCTATTATGATATTACGAATGATCATAGCCTATATTGTGAAGGATTTGTATTACCGTATATCACTTTCATTTGGTGGAGTTTTATTTTGGCGATTGGCGGTCTGCAAGTGGATTTGCCAATATTATTAAAACCACCAATCATTAATGTTCATGCTCAGTAATGCACGTGTACAGTACATGTACATAAAAAATTGCCAAATTAAAAACCGTCAATTACAATTTTACAGCAAAATCGCCTAAATAAAGTGCCATATCGTATTTGCACGTGCATGTATATGTACATGTACATTTAACATGTACATGTGTTGATTCAAATAGCCATCATTCTTGTTTTGTTTGTTAGGGGTGGAGTTTGGAGCCAGAATGATTAACATTGATGGGAAGCAGATAAAGCTTCAAATATGGGATACAGTGAGTTATGGGTGGGGCTGTTAGAGGGTGTGGTTTACTAAGGCGTGTTATACAGGCTGGACAGGAGTCGTTTCGTTCCATCACAAGGTCCTATTACAGAGGAGCAGCAGGAGCATTACTAGTGTATGATATTACCAGGTTAGAAGGAAAAGTGATTAGAGAGGGGGAAAAGGGAGCATTTTTATGGCTGTGTTACAGTTATTGTGTGGTTGTACATTATCTTTCTGTTTCCTTTCTATTATGTATTTTTTGTTATCTATATTCTTTTTTTACTCTCTTATCTTCTCTCTCTTCCTTCCCATTCCTCACTTTTATTTTCTCCTTCTCTACTCTCTCCTTCTTTCCCTCTCCCTCCCTCCCTC